GTTTCACCAAATAAGGGCACACCAAAAGCTCATAATTGACAATGCTGGAATAGTCTCATCATCATCAACGAAGAACCAATGTTGATATCCTATCTGGCGCCCGGCGCTCAGACTACAGATGGCAGATCCTATCTAGCCTACTCTACGATGCCGCTGATGACGTCAACAGCTCCCCGAAGTACTAGCAGATCTCAGACAATGCTGTATGCTTCAAGCACCAGGTATGTCTCTCGTATCACTCACAACCTCGTTCCCCAACTCACAGATGCCACATGCACCCAAGGACCACCATGCGCCCCATCCAGCATACAGCAGCGCAGCTCAGCTATGGCTGCCTGCTCCTTCCAGCTCGCCCGTGAGCGCGTGAGCCTGGCCAGCGTTAGCGCAGCAGCGCTTGCGCAGCATGCAGCCAGTGCCCGAATACCCAATGCGTGTGCAGGCCCTTTCCTAAATGGAAGTGGCCTGCCTGCCTTGCGTGCAGCCTGGCTGCGCTGGGCCCCTGCCCAGAAGCTTCCGGTAGGCCCAGAGAGGCTGAGCCCCAGACCAAACGGATCAGGCCCAAGGCCTGTGACAGCTACCCGTGCCTAACTGCCCGCAGCCTGAGTTGGGTCCATGCTGCGTATCTCGCCCAGGGCCTGACTCAGATGCATTTGATAAAGGAGGCCAGGGCCTGGGCGCTTTCAACCAACTGGCGCTGTGCAACTGTCTGAATTTTCCCCCAGTTGCGAAGTAGTCCAAAATAGGCCTCTTGTCGACTGTCGAGCCTGCCCCAAATACGGCTATAATGACCGGGTGTTATATTCGGGTGAAGACGGTAGTGCGAGGCACAAGGCCTCGATAAGCCCTACAGGGCCCCTATTTGCAACAGTGTCAGCCGGCCTAAGTGAAGGCAGGCTCGACAGTCGACAAGAGGCCTATTTTGGACTACTTCGCAACTGGGGGAAAATTCAGACAGTTGCGCAGCGCCAGTTGGTTGAAAGCGCCCAGGCCCTGGCCTCCTTTATCACCCGGTCATTATAGCCGTATTTGGGGCCATTTTCTGTCCAGATGCAGCGATAATGACCGGGCGTTCTATTCGGCTGAAGACGGTAGTATCATGTTCATGGTGGCTACTTGAGAGCCTTTGGCCACTTGTTACTCTGATGATGCACCTTTACAATGTGCCCCTACAGTCCCTACTAGAGGGGGGGGGGGGGAGGGGGGGGAAATGCACAATGTTGCCACTACTCCCAGCAACCACTTCAAACTTCAAAGTAGCCACCGAAGACGGCAGGCATTCTAAAGGCAGTGCTAAAAGGTTAGCAAAAACAACAATCTCTTTTGTTTTTCCCAAAAACAACAATCTCTTTTGTTTTTCCCAAAAACAACAAGCAATTCATGCAGATTAAAAAAAAAAAGAGAAAGGAGCATAACAGCTGCAGATCAGGGTGTTCATTCTTGGCCAAGATTCAGAAGCATGATAATCAATTTAAAAAAGGGTACAGTCCAAGCAGACTGCACACATGAAACTTGCAGTGCCTCGTCAAAAACGGGGCATGAAGGTAAATGACACAATGTACATTGCACCAGAGGATGAGCACAAACTGTCAGTATCATCTTATGAAAAAGATACAAGAGAGGGCAGCCCGCGATAGTACGAGGGGAGGGAGGCAGGAATCGAAAAGCAACAGCAACAAGTCGATGACATATGGTCCTCTAGAACCAGATTTCGGTGCAAGTGCCGGCAGAAGCTTGAAGATCTCCTAGATAAGTTTGGACTCTGGAGAGAGCAATGAGTAAGTGTGCGCTACTACCGTCTTCACCCGAATAGAACACCTGGTCATTACAGCTGTATTCGGGCCAACTTGTAGTTCAGATACGGCGATAATGACCGGAAATTCTATTTGGGTGAAAACGGTAATATAGCCACCCATCAGCACAAAGGCCAAGACACAACTACCTTTCTCTGTCGGGCAAGTTGACATCATGAAACTGAGTTTGACATGGATCTTTTTTTTTTTTTTTTTCTGACATGGGTCATCTCAGTTGATGGTAGACCACGAAGAAGAAAGTAACACCAGGAAAAAAATAACGTTCGTCAGACTTCTTCTGACCTTTTTAACTATTTCTTAACGCATGTCGCACAAGTAAAAAATGGTGTCATTGCCTACCATCTTCACCCGAATAGAACGCCCGGTAATCATCGCCGTATGTGGGCTGAAAGTTGTGCCAAATACAGCTATAATGACCGGGCGTTATATCCGGGTGAAGACGGTAGTCGATTTATCAAGCTCCAAAACTTCCAGGGCGCAGAATTTCTCTGGCAGCCAAAAGAGATGGCAACATCCAGTCTTGCCGGTCCAACATGACCTTCGCATAATTTGGCCAGGTTCGTTGAACCTTAAACCGCCACTGAATCAGGACCAAAGTAGCCAAACCAAACATTTCAGTGGCGGTTTAAGGTTCAACAAACCTGGCCAAAAGTGGTGCAATGCTGGGAATGAGAGAAGTCTCTGAAGTTGCAAGAATCAAACAGCCCAGCAGATCTCCTCCCGGGGGATCAGGTGTCAGAATAGCTGGACCCTCCTAGAAACCAGCTCCGTCCAAGCCACTTTCCAAGCCTGCCAAGCATGTTAATCTCCCTTGGTAGTTCCCATTGACTGCAATGACCTGCGCAGTTTTCAGCCTGAGAAATCTGCACACTTCTTTCAGAATTCACTGTCCTTTGGTCTGTTGTGGTGAGGTTTCGGGGTTCGAGTCTGTTTTGCTGCGTTTCCTGAAGATGTGTGTCCTGCTGATGATGCCTGGATGCCTGTGCTTGTGTGTTGACGTCTAAGTCTGTGTCCGTGTGCCTTGTTTTCTGAGCTGTGTTTACGTACCCTGGGCAGGGTATATAAGTAGGGGTAGACACAGGGACAGGACTGAAATTATGCTACAGGAGGAGCTTCCAGAAGTTCTAGCAAGGCCAGGAGAAGAAATAACATTCCCCAGGGACCCTGTAGGGATTTTCCGCCAACTTGGAGAGGCCCTAGGGTCTGGTAGGATAGCAGGTAGGTAATGATGGTATCAGGACTATATTGGGTCTAGTTTAGGCCTGGGTACAGGGTCTGTAGGTAGGATTACAAACTGCAATGATGTTCCCACCAAAAGGATTGATCTTCTTCTTTTTCTTCTTCTTATTCTTATTCTACTTCTTCCTCCTCCTCCTCCTCCTCCTCCTCCTCCTCTTCTTCTTCTTCTTCTTCTTCTTCTTCTTCTTCTTCTTCTTCTTCTTCTTCTTCTTCTTCTTCTTCTATTTGTCCTCTTCTTTTCTTGGTCGCACTCCACTTCTCCTTTGAATTGTGATGAATAACATTCTCTCCGAGTTGGGCTTTGCATCAAGGGTTGAACAGGATCATAACATCACAGAAAAAAGGGGCTAGCAGTGGCAGTGGTGCCTGAACAGAGGCTCAGGGTTGGGCTGAGAGCAAAAACCTACATCATCAGGGGAACCCCATAGTCTTCTCTTGAAGAGATCGCTTGTCTGTGCAATGATTCCTGGGGGCAATCTCTCAGCTTCCTTATGAATACTGGGCATAGTCCTTGGAATTTCTATCTGCAAAGTCATACGATCACAGTGTTAGCCCATCTGTTCATCCAACAGGAACAACTCTTGCATTCCTCACACTCCCCATTATATAGTCCAACAAGGCACAGTATACCATCTCTTGGCATTATACGACATGAGTCGCCCACAATATCTTCGATGCGTTCAGAAGTCTCCATCCACCTAGCACCCTATGCTTGTCTGCAACTCTTTGCTCAGTGTTCAGGATTCAAAATTCCATAGGTCCCTTTTGGTGCTTCAGAAAAAACAAGACTGCTTGATCGTTCCTCTCTACCATCTGGCCGTCTTTTCTGGACCATCCTCTCTCTCTCTCTCTCTCTCTCTCTCTCTCTCTCTCTCTCTCTCTCTCTCTCTCTCTCTCTCTCATCCATGAACAGTTTGCCAAAGACCATTAGAACAGGAAATAATAACAGTGGGAGATTAGGAGACTCTGTACTGATGGCATAACACTTCTTCAGATTTTCATTACCAGCACAGCGCGAGTGGACCGTCCTTTTTTTTTGGTCTTGGATACTGAGATCCTCACACCTTTTCCTATGCCCCACATGCCACATGGACTGTTATCCCATTCGAGAACCTTTGGGGCACACACACTAGGCCCCGGATAAAAACAGCTTCTAGGCGTCAACCACTGACCTTGCCAAAACCAACCAGTTTGAGAAAAAACAGCTAACTCAGTCCCAGATACATGAGCTACCTAACTACATAACCCGTTCTTTGCCCTGGGTAAAACACTACACATACAGCAAATAAAATACCCAGTTAACTCAGCCCCCCGCCCGTCACCTGAGGTACCTATGAATTCCCAGCTCAAAACAATAGACAGTAAAGTTGAGTAAACACAAAATTTAACGCATCCCACTGGTTGCGAGCGTCAGGCATGACTCCAACTCCAGACTTGCTTACTCGCCAAATCAAAGACACCTCTCAAATTCTCAATATGTCGATAACGACGATAAGTGTGTTGGGAACTTGAGACCCTGACTTCTGATTTGCAAGCAGTACTCTAAGGCCGGAAATGAGTGAAACATAAATCCAGGAATTGAAGACACACAGAGGTACTGGCAAAGGCTCTGATGTAAACAAGAAGACACACCCGGTTGCAAGCATCCACTGCAGAAAAGGAAGCAAGGAGTACAAAAAGTCCTGAAATGAGTAAAAACGCATATGTTCATGTCTGACGTCAGTGGCATGTTCTCTCGGCATTGGTCATGAAACCAGGGCAAGCATCCACTGCTGGTGCAAAACGTTTCAACATGTGGTGGGAGATCGCATTGGCAAGCGAAAGGGAGGGGACAGAACTGCACAAGCAAATGAATGCAAGGGAAGTTAAAAATAAAAATAAAAATAAATAATAATAATTAAAAAAAAAAGGGAAATAAAAGCAAGGGAATCTTACCACTGGAAGGGTGATGCACTCCACTTTCTTGTCCCTCCTCCTCCTCCCCTTTCTTTTGGGACGGAACTGTACGGTAGAAACTATGCCAACTTCATCCACGGTGTCAATTGGGCCCCCATCCTGATGACCAAGCCCACTGCCTGTCTCCTCTTCCATCTGGTTTACAACCCCTCCCAAGCTCTTCTGTTCTTGCCCTGCCCCTTGTGTAATCGTCTCAGGATTGTTCGCTTCTCCCACCTTCTGCCCCTCCTCTCCCGTACTGGTTGCATTTGACGACTCGGCCAACCCCAAATTCACTTGTGGTGATTGGACAGCTGTTCCGTTCCCCAACACACTAATGTTTATGCTGCCCAGCAGCAACCCATCATCTACTTTCGAGTATGCAAGCGAACCTGAAGAATCCTGCAATAATGCCATAAAAGCTTCAGTCAGTAGCCCTTCCACCACCCACCTCTCTCTCTCTCTCTCTCTCTCTCTCTCTCTCTCTCTCTCTCTCTCTCTCTCTCTCTCTCTCTCTCTCTCTCTCTCT